ATCAACGCCCTTGGGATCGAAGACGAGATCACGAACCGTATAGCGAAAGTTCGAAGTGCTTTTGCTAACCTTCGTCACCTATGGCGGCGGCGCGACATCACTCTCGCCCTGAAGGGTGGAGTGTACAATGCAGCGGTACATTCGACCTTACTGTACGTTTGCGAAACCTGGCCCCTAAGATCGGCGGACATGAAGAGGCTAGTTACGTTCGACCATCGGTGCCTTCGCAGTTTGGCTCACATCTGGTAGGAACACCGCTTGAATGACGAGCGTGTTCGACGCCTTGTTGACGACACAGGAAAAGGAACTGAACCACTCAGCACCGTTATTTCACGCATCAGGCTCCGATGGCTCGGCCACGTGTTACGCATACCAGCCCACCGACTCCCGCAACGTAGGTTGTTTGCGCGCCGGGGATGTGGGTGGAAGAAGAGGAGAGGTGGCCAAGCGATGACTAGGTCCAGAGGAATGAAGTCCCTCACTTCGGAGCTGGCCTCGGTTGGAGCGTCTCGGCTCCCTGGTTGGGGTCCAAAAGACGGTGAACACGTTTGGCTGGATACACTTGCTGACATGGCAAGGAGCTGACCTCAGTGGCGTTCGTGCTGTGAGTTTCTTTGTCCCTCCCCATCCCTTTTAGCCTCCCCTTCCACCTACGATCTCATTTCTTAGTGTAAAGCATAATATTTTCTTTTTTTACCCAGTAGCTGGCTGGTAGCTTACCGGAACGATGCCTATCCGTTGTTGGTAGCTTAGCTGGCATGCAACTGTCGTATTTATTTTTCCTTTATGTATTGTATTTATGTGTGTATTTTCTTTATGTATTGCGGTACAATAGCGGAGGTGTTTTCCCACCTCTAGCTGACATGTATAACGATGATGATGGTGGCTGGATATTTTCATGTTTTCATTTCCAGTTACCTCGAGTGATGACCACATGCATCGGTTCAGGACAAACTGGCTATCCTCATAATATGAGTTTTACTCCGTATGATGTCGACTGCATCGAAAGGACCTGAAACTATACGTATTTGGGAAGTGGAGATCAATTCTTTACTCATGGGTATCGATATATGCATGGCATTTACACTGAACGGAAGTGGAACGGGATAAATTGTGTGCCTGCTGACATGGACCGAGATGTGAGTACTGCTTCCATATAAGCCCTGACGATGATCTGTATCTTCATGTCCGACCATGGAGTGAAGAGTTTTGAATACGCATCTTTTCAAATTTTTCATGGAGTGAATGCCCGTGGCACAAAAATAATACAATCGAATACTGCATGGGCAGCAGCAGATGAATCACTTTCGTTTATGGTGTAAGTATGCTACCGGCAGCTAACGACGAGAAAGCCCATTTTCATGATCTGGAAGAATGGCGGCACATCCGTGAAGCTCTCTGCTGCTGACACCATACTTCAGTCAGTTTCAAGGCTACCCGTGTCGCCTCACTATAAAGGTAGTGGGCGGAGAATACTAAAACTTGCGGTTCAGTTCCCACAGGTGGCTGTGAACTTAATGCGTAGCAGGCATAAACTGCTCAACACACTGACTGCTATCGGATCTACCATTCATAACAGCAAATGTAAGATCACAGCAATTCGACGTCATCGATGAGACAGCACTACCTCTGACTCAACGTAACCACAATAGTAAGTCATGAAAACATGTTTTCAAGCCAGTGGCTATTGAAAACGGATTGCAACCGTATAGAAGCTTGCCGTTGTTCTGTTCACCGGAAACCACCCAAAAACGATTAGCTGCCGAACTTTCAGCGGTCGGCATACACTCACCCCATTCATATACACCTTGTCAAGCGTTTTTGCCATCTAGAAAGCTAACAGTATGTACACTAATGCCCAGGATCTACTCAGGAAACCTACCAAACTGCGATTTCATCAGAAATCAAAGGTATGTCATCTCATCGCTTTAACAGAGACATTGTTGCACTACGAAATAACTGATATCGCGGTCGCGTTGCCAAACATGTCTGTTTTCCGGCACGACCGACACAGTAAAAAGGGGTGGAGTGGCTCTATACTACCACGTGACCTCCAATATGAGCCCATAGAGGATCCGGCCAACACGGCACCGCATTACTTTTGGTGCCTATTACGCTTAGGAGGTGACGACGCATGCTTAGTGGCTGTCGTTTAACGCCCTCCATCCTCCACTCCTGAGGTGGACTTCCTTCTGGCATTCATTCTGAGGAAAGTGATAAACGTGAAGTGCAGCCACATTCTTACTACTGGCGATTTCAACAAGCACTCTGTGGAATCCCAAGCCTTTCCTGGAGAACAGTTTAAAGCACATCTGCAACAGCTTGTCGCCAGTTTCCCGTTTTATGGACAAATCAACACCGACCAGATTCAAAGGGACACACAGGTCATCTCTACTAGACCGGATATTCACCAACAAAGAAATCATCATCGAGAGGTTGATCATCAATATCCCTCTAGGTTGCAGTGATCATGCAGCCTTGTTCTTCATGTACACATACTATGTAGAATACCCCAGGGGGAATACCTGGGGGACGCGGACCATAACACACTACGACATATTAGCTAGACTAGCTGAAACGATAAACTTGCATTTCCTAGCTGAGGATACACCGGATATTGCCTGGGTAAGTTTTGTCAGGATATTCAACACCCTGATTGCAGATGCATCTGAATACTAAGGCTATCCGTTCAAAAGACATGGCATTGTTTGTACGGTGTAGGACACGAAAATGCCTGGCGACTGGGAACGCAGCATTGCACTCTCACAAAACCGACTGGAACCCGAACTCGTGGAAGACCTACGTTGTCCAACATAAAAATTGTATTTAACTACAGTGCGAGGACAAAGTGGCATATCGACAAGCCATAACAGGACTTTAAAGCGCTATTTTGGTTTATCTATAAATGTTGCATATTTGTAATTAACAAGAAAATCACAAAATGACGACATCATCTCACAAAATGCGTCTTTTACCTTTATTGTATGGAGTTATAACAGAACTGTTTACCTTAAATCCTAAGCTACTGTAAAAGAAGGTAAGATGAAAAAGGAATTTCTGCCTCTTTAAAAAGCAGTAGGACTAATGCGGACAGCGAACGAAGCGGGGAATGTTTTGCGGCAGCAGTACGCACCAACTTTCCAATATGTTCCGCGATATGCTAAACCATTAGAATGTATTGCATCACCTTTAATAGCGAACATTTTGTCAACCTTATGAATAACTGATGAAGGATTTCTTTCTCAAACCGATACGAAAGCGCATTAGTTACAACATAACGAAAGCCAGGTTGCGTCAGCGCATAGATCAGTGGTAAACCGCGGGAAACCTCGGTAATCCTCAATGGTATAAGGGAAGCAAGCGAAAATCGAAGTACCGTTGGCTTACTTACCTTGCACAATCGAGGACTGCTTGGCCGTAATACTGTCCACATCCATTGTTTGAAGTGAGTACAAGAAATTAGTATCGGACATCATCCCTTTGGCAACTTGCCATGAAATCTCCTTATAACCCTTGAAAACACAAATGCATTCAGACACAACCTGGACAGCCCGTGGAGGCTTAGTGAACGACCGAATTTCAGTAACATCCGATTTGTCAAGATCCTCTAGAGCAAGACGAGCTTGTTGTAAAGCCGGAAGGGCCTCAGCCAACGCTGCCTCGGCTCCTCTCTGTAAGTAAGGGTGAGAAGTGAACAGCGTGAGAGTGTACATTGTGCAATTCAACTTAGTTCAGTTAGTCACGCGATTCAGGCAGTGCTTACAACGGACAAACCAACAATAGACTAAAACAAGGCCGGATTAAGATAGCAAGATTTTCAAAGTGTTAGACTGTAGGATATGAGGTTACAAGCATGAGACTAAATGTGAGTGGTACTGATCTTCCGGCGGTAGTGCTTCTGGCCGTGTTCCCACCAACTGATGTGGTCCACCGCCGAGGAATCCACTCGTAAAAGTGGCACACACGAAATTCGGCCTCGCCCTGCGTCAGTTTCTGCATGTTACTATTACTATTGTGAGACCCCAACAAACCAAGTGTAATGTTGGCAAACGCTACACTCCGATAAACTTGGTCGGTAAACATGCGTGAGACGCGATTCAACCAGTGCTGGCAGTCCGGTTTTAACACCTGATCTAGTGGGGCACTACAAAGTCTGTTTCCAAATGCCAAATCGCGAATCAAGCTCTTTTCTTCAGTAAAATATGCATACTGCTCAGTAGGCATTGGGACCGTGAAGCGAGTAGTCTCTTGAAATCTCTAAGACACCCCGGTGGATGAAGCAGCACTTTCCGGATTACACAATTGGACACGTTACATTTAATTGAGAAGCTATCCTGCTGGCTGCATAGGAAGTTGATACTTCAGTGGTCGCATTGACCTTACATGTGTCAGCTGTATTATTTTCAGCATTATGACAATCAGATTTGACGTCACAAATTATGTAGATAGGTCAGTTGATTGTCTGATATATTAAATTGGCTGCTTACCGACCCGTTTTCTACTGTGAATTGCAGAGTTAGTGCCAACTTGTGAGATGCTGCGTGCACAGACACACTGCTGGGTTGCATCGGTTTTGCAAATACGACTTCGGTACTGCAATTTATCACGGTTTAATTGTGCAATAATAATTAATCGGTTACCGATCCATCCCCGAGTGTCTACCTCAAATGGAGTACAGCTGGCCATTCTCATCTCCGTATTGAATGACTAGTTTATCGGTCTACCAGAGCAAAATGATATCACAAGTGTGGATGGGTAAGTGCGTTCCTCTTGTAGTTTTGTAATTGTAATGTCCCCGAGCTCAAGATTAGTTCACCTGTGAAAGGAGTGCGCTACGGAGACACTCTCATCGTCTTCAGAAAGGCTCATGCACAATCTCACGTTCGGATTAACCCTAGGGCCTTATCTTACACACTGACAATGCTAATCTAATTAATCACAGCCCTGTGAAGTTAGAAAACAAAGTCGATTATTCCGTTTTATCCTATTCTCCAACGTACCTTTTCAGATTCAATTTCTTTCGCTTGACCTTCAATTTCTTTTCCTTTTGAAACCGCCATCTCTTTCTTCTCTATCGTACGTTGGCTACTGTTGGTTATTTCCGATAATAGTGTCTCACAAGCTTGTGTTTTTTGGACCACTGCAATTCGCTGAACAGCCAGCTTCGAGTTCAGTTCGTCCAACTGTACGGAAGCTTCGGCCAATTTTTGCAGTCCTCCAGTAAGCCTAGCGATCTGATTATCAGCGTTTGTGTCTTTCTCTTCCAGAAGTCTGAAGCAGAGAGAGGTCAGGTCAGTTGAAATTCCACTTCACATGTGTACTAGTCTAACAACCACTTTGCTTGTCTCAAAGTGAAGTGAAAATGTCGGTTGCAAACCTTTTACCCAATGGACCTGAAGTTATGAACAACTAGCCTCGATCGTTTGGATTAGGCCTCCCGGAAGATCTCATCCAGTTCACTAAAGTCGCTCTAAAACCATACTTCAGTCCCTTGTACAATTTTCCTCTCTTTGGTTGTGGATGGTCAAAGCATACCTCGTTCATGTACCGTAAAATATCTCGGATATTTCATAACTCATAATTATCTTGGTCCATACTTATTCTTGAAAGTTTTCAAAAAGTTGGAAGGCAGTCAGTTTTTGCCCTCAGGGCCTAAATGCTTTCCGTTCCACGAGCTTTAATTATTGGGTTTGGGAATGCATGTATTTCCCTCCAATGGATATACTGTTCCCCCATTATTTTCCCCGGGCTCTTACAAAAGGAATATGTTTTTCTGATCCGTTCGCTAAGATATCTTTCTCGTTGTCTTCACTAAGCAAAGAGCCGCTCATCAATAGTATCGTTACCAAATATTTAGATGCACGCACCAACTTTCATTCAGGATCTCAAACTTCTCCTTTCACTCTTTACACGCTATTCTAGCAAGTGTTATTTATGGTGGCAGTCGAACTCTTCGCTATGTTCGACAAATTTATTGCAAACGTTTCCTCACCAATCCAGGTGACATCATCAGTGCGTTCTTGAGTAGCGTGTAGCCAGTAGCGTAGTGTAGGCACGAAACGTTTACAACAAAATTGCCCAGCTCAGCGAACAGTTCGACTACCACCGGAACAACCTGAGCTACCAATTTTCGCTTTTATCCCAAACCAATTCGGGCGTACAACGGCACTCTCATCGAGGATTCCCTACGCTACGCTATTGGCTACACGCTACACAACAACGCATCCATGATGTCACCTCGATTGGTAACGAAACGTTTGCCACAAATTTGCCAAGCTCACCGGAAAGGTCGACTGCCATCAGGACAACCTGGGCGAACAATTTTCACCCTTATCCCAAGTACCATTTATACTTTTTCCCACACGGTCGAAATTTAAATGTTTATATTTTCGTACCACTTCGTACCGAAACCCCATCCTGCGTTAGCTATCACGCTTACTAATCGACCCATCAGGAATGAAGCACCGGTTGCCTGACCATTAGCTTGCTTGAAGATACACTTTTTACGTTTTATTGCTGTCAATTTTCTTTTCTCATTCCTGCTTTGTTGTAGTATAACCCGCAGTGTTGGTGTGCAGTGCTGTAAATGCGCCCATGTAGGTGGGTAAATGTTATTTTGACTTGAACAGAGAGCTAGAAATAACAATAGCCCATAATAGTACACTCATTGTTCGGTTGGTTTGCTTGGCCCGGTTCACAAAACGTCTGCTCCAATGCTCCAGTATACATCTCCAGAATTTGCTAAATAATCTAAGTGTAAATTCATCACATCTAAACTCAGCCAGATAGGCATCAAAAGTCCGGAAGATCACTGCACCGCAGTTTAATCTTTTGAGGAACTGTAGGAAGTGCGCCTTCCATCTTAACCCTGTGGGGCTAAAATCCACAGCTCGATTGTTACCAATCTGTGGTTAAGACCACTGAGTCATGATGGACGGTAACTACCGACGCAAGTTGCTTGGTGTAATATAGTGCTGCTTGCTGTTCACTAACTTGCACGTAACTGCTGTGCAGAGGATAGGGTGCCCCCCCTGAGCAACGACATTACCCCATTTGAGCCACAAATTAACTTGTAGCATTACAAGCAGTTTGGTCTGCATATCCATTACAAGGGAATAGTAAAGGAATTAGAATAGTATAAGTAGAAGAGTTAACTTTCTTCCTTTGCAATCTGTTAAACCGTTCATCAGCGGACGCTGTCTCATCAACTAGCTAAACTACAATCCAAAGGTGATATTTTCAGAGTCACATCAAACCAACATCCTGGCACGCACGTGTGCCTGGCGTGAATATGGAACGTGTACTGAACCGTGTTAGATGCAGCTACGGAATTTATTGGCCCACGAAGATAGAAGCTGATCCCAGAAACAGCAATGAAACTGTTGGAACATGGCAGACAGTGTATGGAGACGGAGGACATTGATTACTC